TCCCCCAGCAGGCTGTCCCCCCTTCCCTGCTGCAGCTGGCTGCGGCGACAGGAGCTTTGGCACGTGCCCTGTCTCCTGCCCTGGTGCTCAACAAGCTCTTCCTGGAGCAAGAGCAGGAATTCAGCCTCCTGCTTTGTTCTGGGCCGTGGTGTCTCCCCCACAGACCCTGCCTGCTGTATTTGCTTAACCTGGGGCTTCCCCACCCTGCTCCAACAACTGACCTGAGTGCTGAGAAGGGACAGGAGCCACTGCTGGCTTCAATCCATGCCCTCATCCCAGCCCTGGCTCCCTCCCATGCACACACAGTGTGGCCACTGTTTCCCTGCTCAGTGCTGCCTTCTGCTCCAGCACCTCCCCTCCCCGCGTGGACCCTACTCCTGCCCCGTGCAGACTGTGCCCTCCCGGTGGACAGGACGGGTCTGTTCCCACACTGCCCCTTCCAGGGTTGCCACTGTGCTTTGCAAAGCAGCCCTGTAGCATCAGAGAGGCTCAGATAGGCTGGTGAGCTCTGACAGACTCTGCCAGGAAGGTGTTTCCACCACCCACAGAAGAAACAAGGGCCACAAAGGTTATGGGATGACCAGAGCAGGGTCCATCTGCCCAGGCTGTAGGTGAAGAGGGAACAGAGCCTCTGGGGACTGATAAGGAACAGAAGCCCTACCAGAAGGTGACTGTACTCACTCTTTGGCCAATGAGACCTTGCTCTCCAGGGACTCCCAGCTGGCCAGGATCACCCTAAAAAGAAGGAACCACAGACATGGAGACAAGCTGTTTACTGATGGCAGGTGAGCATGAAGCACTTCCCATTGCACCCCTCGTTTTTGCTTTTGCTTTCCTTCTACCACACAAACACCTTCACTTCAGCTTGCAAGGGGGCCCAAAGCAGAGGCTGGCACCACCAGCCTCTCTGCTCTCATAGGGCCAGCACACACCTCCCAGGCTCTGTTGTGGTGTTCACAGAATCATAGAATACCAGGTTGGAAGGGACCTCAAGGACCATCTGCTCCAACCTTTCTTGGCAAAAGCATGGAGCATGGCCTAGAGAAGGTGACCTAGCACCCTGCCAGTGGAATCTTAAAAGCATCCAATGCTGAAGACTTCACCACTTCCCTGGGGAGATTATTCCAATGGCTCATTTCCTTGCTGTGGAAATGTTTTCTCTTTGTTTAATCGGAATTTCCCCAGGAATAACTTGTGCCCACTCATTTTCTTCCATGGGAGTCCTTGTAAAAACCAGAGTCTCCATCTTCTTTGTAGCCACCCTTTGAATCCTGGAAGAGTATTTAAATGATGCTGGACAGGACAGAGGTCAAGGGGTGGTTTGTGCTGCCTGCAGAGCCAGAAGACATTCCCTTGGCACAGCCCCTTGGCAGAAAGGCAGCAATGCTGGGTGCAGTGCAGCAGAGCCACAGGCACAGCTAGAGTGAGGGAGAAGAAACCTGACAGCTCTTTGAGCTCCAGGATGACTGAGAAGGGTGGAGCAGAAACTGCATCCTTGACTTCACCAAAATGAATGAACTGAAGGTGTCAGAGCTGGCAAACAACCAACAAGCTACGAGGCTGCAGTTTAGCCCTGGGGGTACAAGGGCTGTAGTGCAGCCACCTCCCATGTGTGCCCATCCAAACCAACTGCTCTGCAGGGAAGAGAGATCAGGAAACACAGAGGCGTGAGGAAAAAATTGTCTGACCCACCCATACATCTCATCCCACATCAAACAGGTCTGTGATGGCTGCCCAGAGCAACCCCAGGCTGTCCCAGCACCTCCCAGCTTAGCAGAAGGAGCAGTGTGGGACTCGTGCTCCATGAGCCCAGCCCTGGCAGTGGGTACAGGGCTGTTTGTGCAGCTCGTGGTGTCCTGTGCCTGACAAGGGCAGTGAGGAGCATGGAAGCTGAAACACTTGTGCAGTATCAGGATGCCAAAGACACGGTAGCTTCAGTGAAGTGTCAGAAGATTTGCCAAGGAAAACATGGCAAAGGATGGGGCTGGAGGTGGGGAGTGAAGAACACCAAAGAGGAAAGTGCATTTAATCCCCACACAGAGTCTGCTCAAAAGCTCTGCACACAGCAGCGAACCTTCAAACCAACTGGGAAGGGGGTTAGGATAAAATAAAACCCTCTCTGAGCTGCTCAGCACAGGGATCTTATTCAAACAAAGAGATGGTTTTTTTATAGGCCTTTCCATGTGGACAAGAAGGTGCATTCATGGCTCTGGATCAGGGCACCCTTCCCCCACAGCCACCAAAGGAGTTCAGTCCCCACAGAGCTGAGGCTTGGAAACCATGGCAGGACCTTGTCTGAGAGTATTTTTAAACTTGGGACCTTCCAAAGACTGTTCTTGTTTCAAATTAGAAGCTGCCTGGATCTCTGGGTCTCCAGGAATCCCCTCTCCACTCAGGTTTTGGATCTGCAAAGAAGTCAAGCTTCATTTCCAAGGCCCTTTACAGCTCTTGAGGCACCAGATCCCTGGGATGGTGTTCCTACCACTGACAGCTTCACCCTCAGGGTGGGGCTCAGGAATTTCTTAACCAATGGCTTAAAGTTATCTCAATTTTTTTTTTTTTTAAACTTTATCTTTTATTGAATATCTTTTTTTGCTTTGGCTGCCCACAGTATCCACTCCTGTGGGAACAGAAGTTGCTGTTATCGCCCTGGTCTGGCAGAGAAATTGCACTCAGAGGTTTCCTTACCTTCATGCCAGGTTCACCTGCAAGGCCAGGTTGTCCTATTGAGCCAGGCGGTCCCTGAAGTGGGAAAAAAAAAAAAGAAAGATAATGAAAAAACCCATTGTAACCAAGTAGAAAGCAAGATCAAAGACATAATTCCTTTAGCAGAGCCCTCCCGGGACAGCAGAGCCCTGGTTGCAATGTAATTACCTCCCTGGAGCTGGCTCAGGGTAGGCAGCATCAAAGAGGCCCTGTACCTCCTCGTGCCTGGCTCCTGGGAGGGCTCACACCCCCCCTCCCCAGCCCCACAGCAGCCCCCCAGCCTCCTCTGCTGAGCAACTCCAACTCCTTCCAACCCCTCTGCTCTCTAAGGTTAGTAGCCAGGCTGGGGAGAAGCACTGGGACTAATTGGGAAAGAAGAGAAAAGGTCCCAAATTTGACAGGAAAGCCTTTCTCAAGGGTCCAGCAGGATGGCTGATACAGAGGGTAACAGAAACGCTCAGCTCTGCTCCTGCTCCCTGCAAACCCCACCTGGAAAACCATGGGAAATAAGATATAAAGATGGATGATGAGAGGATGACCTTGCAAGCTGCCATTGCTCAGTGTCCAGCTGCCACAAGCAGCCTTGGAATAGAAGGATCACGTTCGTTTGCTATCTTTAGTCCCAAGATCAATTGGGAGCTTTAATCTTTGTGCATTTTCTATTACCTCTGGGAAGCATGGAAAATAAGAATCTATAAAACAAACCCAAAGATGGGAGAGCAAAGCTTGTCTTTAAAGGATTTGAGTGGTTTATTTACTTATGATATTTGCTTTCCGGACAACAATCTCCCTTCTCTTTACAGCTGAGAGAAAAGGGGAAAAAAGAGCACATAGTCAAGGGAGCACTCTGCTGCCCAGGGAATAAGGCCAGCTCCTGGCTGGCTGAAATGGATTCAAGCAGAGGAGGGAGTGCTGGGTTTACAAACGAATGGTCAAGTCATGCAGTGAGAAAATTCAAGCTCCAACGAAAGCAAAAATCCTACTTGGGTTTCTCCAGAGGTGCCAGTGCAGAGAAAGGCTCCTGGAAGAGCCTCAGGTTTGAATAAAGCTCTGTACTTTCTTGGTTGGCAACATGAAGAGTGGCTGGGTAGCAGTTTTCCAGCTCCCCAGTGTGGTTTACCACGCTAAGAGCTCGCTCCAGCCCGTCTAGCAGCCATGAGGATGGAAACTTTCCTGACACACACACTGCAGAAGACTGTTAAAAGCCACCTTTGCTGCTGTTTTCACAAAAGAGTGAAACATCCTGGCTGTGTTACAGCCTGGGACCTGTGGAAAGGAGCTCTCCTAGGGGGACTGGCACATCTGGTATAAACAGCCAGGACTATAATAATTCAAGAGGAGTGAAACCAAGCCAAGACTTCAGAGGAGTTGGGGAGAACCCATAGAGGCATCGCCTGCACTCCACCAGGGCACAGTTTGGCAGCTGCTGCTGCTTTGGTTGTGGTGTGTTTGTGCCACTGCTTCATGGCAACGGCAGCCCCAAAGCACAGGCAGCAGCAGAGGTGCTTCTCTGGGCTCCCTCCACGGGGGTGGGACGGGCACAGCAGGGCAGGAGGGCTGAGAAAATGCACCCCGGCAGCGCCCGAGAGAGGGGACGGGGAGCCCAGCTCTCAGTCTGGATTGTTATGGGAGTGGGTCCTGGGCCCTGCACCCTGCTGCAGAAAGGTGCTCTGTGGTGAGGTCACAGAGCCATGCCTGGGATATGTTCTCAGTGAGGTCAGCTTTGAAACAGTTCTCTTGCTGTGAAGGTGGGTCTGCACAGCCACCAGCGGGGTCTGAGCCTGTGGTGAGAGCGATGCCTGAATTTCTGGTTTTCATTGCTTTGGAAGTTGATTTTCAGACTGGAAGGAAATTCCTCTTTGTCGTGTTCCCAGGTGTGGGAGGATGCACCTCTGCACATTTACCCATTCCTCAGTCCTACCACTCTTGATTCAAGGGGAAAACAGGAGCAAAGACCAGACCTACCTTATGCCCCATTTCTCCCAAAGGGCCGGGTGGCCCCTGTGGTCCTTGTGGACCCTGAAAAACAGAGACACAAGGTTCTTTTCACACAATGGTTTCATTTCTGAAGGGCCATCACTTTCATGGTCTGTAAGGTACTGTGGGCTCAGTTCTAAAACCAACAATCTTCCTCCTGGACCCCCCCTCTGCTCTACCTACCAGCCCAGTCCAAACCTCTTGTTACATCTGACCCTGTCCCAGATCCAATCTTCCCATTCTTTTCTCCCTTCCCTTCCAAAATCCAGCACAGGCTGTATCCTACACTCTCCTTGGTTGATCCACAGCCCCCTTTTGCTTTCCAGGGGCCTGACCTTGTCTTTCCTCATGTCTCCTAGGATTTTAGCCAAGTCTTTCACATCTCTGACCACACTGGAGTTGGCCAGGACAGAGAAGCTGGGAAGGGGAATGAGTGGTGGGGAGGAAGCAAGACAGAGAAAGAAATGAAATGTCTGTGGTTGTGCAAGGAAAGACAGATGAAGAGAGAGTGGTGACACTTGCCGGGTCGCCTGGGGCCCCTTTTGCTCCTGGAGGTCCAGAAGGTCCTTGGATACCCTAGAAAAATTAAACCCACCAAGGTCAGCTCCAATCCCATAACAATCCCTCATGCCTCTTGGCAGTAACGTGCATCTCACAAAGGCTCCAGTCACAGGAGTGAAGTGGCCTCGTACAAGTGAGACACTGTCCAGATTCCTCCTCCTGGACCAGGGCTCAAAACTTACAGACTTGAGTGAGACCAAGGTTATGAAAGGAAGCACAAGGGATGGACACTTACTGGGAAGCCACGTGCTCCTGTCTCCCCGGTCTCGCCCATCTTGCCCTGTGAACACAGAGTCACAGCAGTCAGCACGTGCTGAGACACCAGAGGCACTTTGGCCAGAAGCAGCTGCAGCTCCCCGGGCACTGTGTCCGTGTGGGTACCCCCATGGGGGCTGGCACCACACCAGGCTTGGCATGGGGGACATACCTGCAGCCCCTCTGGCCCCAGCCTGCCTGGCTCCCCTGGTCGGCCCTGCAAAGCAAGAAGACAAGGACATGTCAGGAGCAGGAAGTGTTGGCAATGTTCTCCAGCCCCAGGCCATCTGCTCTTACACTTCTGTGCATCAGGTACCCCCTCCAGTCCCCTGAAGCTTTTGAGAGGCCAAACGCCCAGCATCCTGCCCTGAGGAACACCCCAACCAGCAAGGAGCTGGGCACTGGGCTGCATGGCCTGAGGGGTTTTGAGCAGACTCTGCTTTGGAGGAAATGGGTTCTGAGGAGACTCAGCACAGCCCTGCCCAACAGGGCATGAATTAGGGGAAATTCCCAATCCAAACTGCATTCACACAGCCACGTGTGCCATGCAGGGGATGGATCTGTGACATCCAGTGGTAAGACAAGGTCCAGCTCTGCAGGACAATACTCTCCCATCAGGCTGCTGTCACAGGGAGGATCTAACCCATGCACTCATCTCAGAGCCTACCTTGGAGCAGGCTCATCCTGGATGAGGGGCTGCTTGTGCAGGGTATCTACCAGGCTCTCTGTGCACCACATATCTTGCCCTGCATTTTTTCCTGTCCTGATCTAATCAACATGAAGTACATCAGAACTGATACACATCCCCTTAGGTCACATTTTATCAGTTGTATTAAATTGCTCTGATGTAGTGCTACGTTCAGACGTAACAGTCAAGTGCACTCACTGCCAGCTAAGGCAACTCCCATTCCTCTGAGGGACTCTGATAATTTTAGCAGAGGCCCTTTCATGTTCGTGCACTGCCTCTGTGTCCAGGGTCTCAGACCCCAGCAGCAAAGGCCTTGATGCCCACGCTGGACAGATTTTACTGTGGTTGCACAGAAGACTCATCCCTGCTTGTTGATCCTCATGGAGCAATTGAACATCCCCTGTTCCTGGAGGAGGATGTGAGCTTGATCCTGCCCAGAGCATTTCTCAGGGCAGTAAGAGCAGCCTTGCCCACCGTGGCCACCCACTGGCACTCGCCTTGGCACCCCGTGACCCCGGCTCGCCTACTGCTCCGTCGGGCCCTCTGGCACCCTGGAAACAGGCAAAAGAGAGGCAAAAATAAGAACACAGAATGTATGTCTTGATGGAAAATACAGCAGTCACCCTAGCTTTGGCCACCAGGAAAGTCCAGGAGATTCACCTGGTTGGG